AAGGTACATACATCCAAACTGTTTTCTTCAAAAAAACAGGCAACAATTGCATCTTTATGACCTCCTAGTGCATAATAAACCAGATTGACCCAGCGTTCAGCTCCAAACACCCATGTTGACATATCTTTGCTACCCACTGCAAAACATCTGAAAAAAAAGTTACTTCATCATTATTAAAGTCTATGATAATTACATAGCTGTGGGTAAGACAAATTACTCATTCCAGCTAGCTATCTCCTAATAGCTTTATGCACTGGGAAAAATACTGATGAGTTCACATAAGTTAAGCTCATTTAACAACTGTTCAGTTACAAGGATGATGAAAAATGTGACCATTCTCACATTTATGACCTTTGTAAAGAAGAGGAGAGTATAAATAAATGCACTTAGCAACTGTTTTGTTTAAAGCAAAGTTCTTCCTTCAGACTGTGGTATTTCCCCAGCTTCTTATACTCCTTCCTGATGTTGCTATCATTTGGCACTACTACATCTATCACCACTGCTGTCTTTTGGGTCCTTGTCTACTATCATGTCTGGGTTGATTGATCAGTACCTGCTTTTCTGTGTGGGAAATGGAAGTCTGGAAATCTCACAGTATCTTAACTTTCTTGTCTCCATGATCTTCTGTGGGATTTTCCATCTGGACTTAGGAGGGTCTAGCGCAGAGGTCTGCAACCTTAAACACTCAGAGTCATACTGTCATGCCCCTGTCAGAGTCTGAATCCGAGGTGGAAGACGAACAGCTGACTGGGGAAAGGCAAAGTCTGGCTGGGCAGAGCAGGGGAGAGGTAGAACGGGAGGGAGTTCAGAAGAAGACCCAGGCCCACCCCCTCTTCATCCTAGGGCAGGGGTGGGCAAACTTTTTGGCTCGGGGGCCTCATTGACTTTTAAAATTTGACAGACGGCCGCTACCTGGTGTCGAAATGCCTGTCATTACAAGTCAAAATCAAATGAATGCAATTATTCAATCATTCACATCAAACCTTAATTCTGTACCAATCTTCGGCGGGCCGGATTAAAAAGACCAACGGACCGGATGTGGCCCTCGGGCCATAGTTTGCCCACCCCTGTCCTAGGGCATGCAGGGAGGAGCGGAGAAGAGAACAATGTGGGTTGCGGGGCTTACAGGGGAGGAAAGGCCCCTGATTCCCTTCATTAGCCACACCTGGGAATGAGAGTTTAAAAGAGATGCAAGCTGAGTGCAGCATCTGCTGGGAACAAACCAGAGTTTATCTTGTGTTGACTTGATTATCTGCATTCCTGGCATCCTCCCAGCCGGGTTGAATTACTGCTGTTCCTTCACGTCTGGAATTCCTTCTCTTTCCCTGCCAGACTAATTACCTCATTTTGCCTTGATTGGACTTATAGTTTTTGTTGACCATGTTTTGGACTTGATTCTCTGCAGCCAAAGGCTGTTCCTGGGAGAGTTTTTCTCCAGCCCAGAAGGTAACCAGGACATTGTGGGCAAAGTTGGAGCTAATAGAGGGACTCCTACTGATTATCTCCAAGTCATCATACACATGGATCCGTTTCCCACAGAAAACAGGGAGCCACAAAACCTGGGTGGGCATGGCCAACACATCCTCACTCCCACCCAGTCACGTGACCCCCCCCCCCAGCCATGCCTACCCAGTTTTTGTGGCTACCGGTATTTTCTTTTCTCTGGGAAACAGGTATCTCTCTCTCTCTCTCTGTTTCTCTCTCTCCTCTTTCTTTTCCCCTCTTTCTCTCTCATCTCTTTGTCTCCTCTCTCCTCTCTCTCTTTCTCCCTCTCTCTCATCTCTCTTTCTCTCTCCTCTCTTTCTCCCCACTCTCTCTCACCTCTCTCTCTCATCTCTCTCCTCCCTCGTGTGTGTGTTCCCTCTTGAACCATTTCCAAAGACAGGCGAGATTTGGGGTTTTGTTTTTTGTTTTTGCTGATGTTGTTCTTTCTTGTTCTTTGGGTGCTTTTTACCATATGATTTAAATCAAGAGTCATTTCAGGTTCCCAGATAAATGAAGCTCTTTCATCCCCCTGCTGTAGCTCCCTGTCGGCTGAACCCACCACTGGCTGGCCCTGCCCTGCACCCTCCCCTCCCACTCACTCATCTGCCCTGAGAAGAAAAGGGCGACAGCAGCAGATGGAGACTCGCTCCGTATTCCAGAGCAGGAGCGAAGCACCCCTCCACTTGTCTCTTCTTCCGACCCATCTTGGTGCTGTCCCTATTTTTAGGGCTTTATTACATTAGCGATGAAAAACCAACCCTACGTTTTAAGCGGTTTGAAACATGCTCTTTCTAATGAGAATGATTTCACAGAGTTTCCAGAAGGTCTTTTTGTGTAAAAGTGGGCTGGAAATACCCTATTTTTGACCTTTTTACAAAAAAAAAATGTTAACTTTACACTCAATTTGTAAGCTATTAGAAAGCAATAGGATAATGAAATTTTATATTCGAAAACCTTGTGTTGCTAAGTTATTATGCACAAAGGTTCACATTTATCATATCTTTCCTTCCAGAGACATAAAAAGCTAAATTTTAACCTTTTTTCAATCTGCAATATTTTTGGACAACTTTGCTCCAAATTATCTAGATGGAGATCGCTCATGAGAATGTTTTTATTATTTTGTTTAATAGAGCACAAAAAGTTGTACAAGTTTTGTTTCTCTCAACAAAATATTGCTGGAGATATTATGTCTCAAAGTTGCTGAAACCTCAGAGTCATACTGTAGAAGGCTGCGGGTATGGAGTCAAACAAATGACTATATCTCCACAAGTATTGCATCAGCAAACGTAACACTTTACCAATGTTCATTGGGGACATGTGTGCATGTTCACACAAAATTTCATCAAAATCCATGTTGGTCAAGCAGGGCACTTTTCTGTAATCAGACCACTTGACATGGATTGAACCCAAATCGTGATTACATGACCACAGAATGCTACAAATGGGCATAAACATGAGCCAATTGCTAAGTGCCCAAATTGCAATCTCATGACTTCTGAAATGGCGCGACAGTTGTCACTTTAAGGACAAGTCATAAACACTTCTCCAAGGCCATCATAACTTTGAAGTATTGTTATATAAATGGTTGTAAGTCAAGGACTACCTATAAGTATAGATAAGAAAATATTCCTAAAATATGCTTCAGCTTCTTTCTTTAAATTAATGGAATGATGTACATTAACTGTATATTTTTAGATTACAAATCATGAACTGAAACCAGGAGTCACTGACATTGACACTAGGCGTTTGGCTTTCTCAATAAACTATACAAAAACCTACCTGGAATCATCAGTCCAGTCAATGCATGTTGTTTCATCATAAGCACCATAATATGTTTTGTCAAGAACAAATGCATTAAATTCTCTCTTTTTCCCTGGAGCATTATACATCAGGGCAACTTTGTCTTTAGTAATCACAAATTTTCTGTTTTACAAAAATGAAAATTGAAAATAAATTATAGAAATAAAGGTCACATTACAGCCAATTTAGTAAATAAGAATTTGTGTAATTAAAATTATTTATGCTTCTGATGCAGATAGACTTACTTTCTGATAATTTACAAGAACCACTAGTACACACTCATAAATAACATATAGATTGACTTAAGAATGATCCATTAAATCATTTCATCTACCATTATATCTATTTTTCTTTAAACAAACTTAATTTCCTTAGTAATTTCATGAAGCTTATTTCACTTTATTGTTAATTACTATTAATATTTCTATAAAATGCAAAATAGTAAAATCAAATACAGTTCTTCATACTTTCCATTTGGAGAAAAACAGACACTATGGACAGGTTTCTGAAAATGGAATCGATGGATAACAGTTTTACTGATCAAACTGACAAGTAAAGCAGATCCCTCTGTAAGGAACAGAAGAAATATTTCAAATATTTTTATATATATGAAAAACAGTTTGTTTACATGTTAAATCTACTCATATTTTAACTCACACAAAGAATTTTACCTGCAGTTCAACTGAATATTTAAACAAAAGATTAAAACATTATTTTTAGTGTAAATATTATAATGCTAACATTTGTAAATGTAACTTACTGATCAAATTCTTTCTTAACATCTTAAACAATTACCTTCATCAACAAGTATAGCAAGATTTCCATCTGGAGACAGTCCCATACATGCAACATTGTATTGAGCAGCCAGTGGTAAAGTTTCAGATTTGTTACTGAAAGAAAAGATGAACAACATATCAAAGGTAACAACACAGTAGCGATTAATACAGTAATTTTAATTATATATATATATATACAGTTGAGCTCATAAGTTTACATACCTTGGCAGAATTTATGATTTCTTGGCCATTTTTCAGAGAATATGAATGATAACACAAAAACTTTTCGTTCAGTCATGATTAGTGGTTGGCTGAAGCCATTTATTATCAATCAACTGTGTTTACTCTTTTTAAATCATAATGACAACAGAAACTACCCAAATGACTCTAATCAAAAGTTTACATACCCCAGTTCTTTAACACGGTGTATTGCCCCCTTTAACATCAATGACAGCTTGAAGTCTTTTGTGGTATGTGTGGATGAGGCCCATGTGTGGATTTTGTGGTATGTGTGGATGAGGCCCATGCCAAAAAGCCTCCAATTCCTGTAAATTCTTGGGCTGTCTTGCATGAACTGCACGTTTGAGATCTCCCCAGAGTGGCTCAATGATATTGAGGTCAGGAGACTGAGATGGTCACTCCAGAACCTTCACTTTATTCTGCTGTAGCCAATGACAGGTCCACTTGGCCTTGTGTTTAGGATCATTGTCATGTTGGAATGTTTAAGTACATCCCATGCGCAGCTTCCAGGCTGATGAATGCAAATTTTCCTACAGTATCTTTTGATAACATACTGCATTCATCTTGCCATCAATTCTAATCAAATTTCCTGTGCCTTTGTAGCTCACACATCCCCAAAACATCAGCGATCTACCTCCATGTTTCACAGTAGGAACGGTATACTTTTTATCATAGGGCTTGTTGACTCCTCTCCAAATGTAGCATTTATGGTTGTGGCCAAAAAGCTCAATTTTGGTTTCATCACTCCAAATGACTTTGTGCCAGAAGGTTTGAGGCTTGTCTCTGTATTATAAGCGGGATACTTTGTGGCATTTGCGTAGCAATGGCTTTCTTCTGGTGACTTGACCATGCAGCCCATCTTTCTTCCAGTGCCTTCTTATTGTGCATCTTGAAACAGCCATATCACATGTTTTCAGAGAGTCCTGTATTTCACCTGAAGTTATTTGTGGGTTTTTCTTTGCATCCCAAACAATTTTCCTGGCAGTTGTGGCTGAAATTTTAGTTGGTCTACCTGACTGTGGTTTGGTTTCAATAGAACCCCCCATTTTCCACTTCTTGATTAGTGTCAATGCTGCTGATTGGCATTCTCAATTCCTTGGATATCTTTTTATATCCCTTTCCTGTTTTGTACAGTTCAACTACATTTTCCCACAGATCCTTTGACAATTCTTTTGCTTTCCCCATGACTCAGAAGCCAGAAACGTCAGTGCAGCACTGGATGAAAGATGCAAGGATCTGTCAGAAGTCCAGGAACTCATTGACCTTTTATACACACACACTAATTACAAGCAAACAGATCACAGGTGAGGATGGTTACCTTTAATAGCCATTCAAACCCCTTTGTGCCAACCTGTGTGCATGTTATCAGGCCAAAATCACCAGGGTATGTAAACCTTTGATCAGGGTCATTTGGGTAGTTTCTGTTGTCATTATGATTTAAAAAGAATAAACACAGTTGACTGATAATAAATGGCTTCAGCCAACCACTAACCATGAGTGACAGAAATTTTTTTGTGTTATCATTCATATTCTCTGAAAAATGGCCAAGAAATCATAAATTCTGCCTGGGTATGTAAACTTATGAGCACAACTGTATGTCTGCCAAATTCATGAATTAGGTAAGGAAGCAAATGTAGCACTTGGTTTCCAGGCAACATTATCCAATATATTTGAAGCAGAGTAGAAAACTAAATCCTCTATAGCACTAACTTATCAAATGTATTTCATAAATCCCTTCCACAAACAGTAGCTTGAGAGGCAGACTGCAAAAGCATTTTTAACAGGCTATTTACTAATAATACACTTAGAGGTCACCGTACAAGAGCTAGATATAATGGTTTAAATGTTAGACTGACACTTGGAAAACCCAGGTTCAAATCCACCTTCCACTGTGGAAGCTGTTGAGCTAGTATCCCACACTCTCACATGCTTTGAGCTGAACAAACAATATCTAATAAATCAAATAAATAAATGAATACTTTTTCAAGTCAAAGACTGTAATTCTGTTTCCCACTGGACTAATCAGAGAGTTTCCATCTGGAGTGAACGTCAAGTTTCCACATCGGTAGACTGTCCCCAACAAATTGGAAAACTAGAAAAATAAAATTGTACTTGCATTAATGCAACGTAAGCAGAAAATGAAATAAAACACAAAAAGTGGTACAGTACCATAATTCTTGAAGGCAATTTCGGACAATGCAAACTTGAATAGGAATTAAAAAATGTACATGATTTGTAATAAACTCACTGCCAAAATGTAGAGAAGTACATATAATGCACAAATAAATTATATTAGGAGATGCTCTCAAGTGCCATTTCTTTTTCTTTTACCAAATTTTATTAAAATGTTAAAAACTAACAAGAATATTTAGAATAAAGGAAAATGAAAGAAAAAGAAAAAATACAAAAAGTCAACAAAATCAACAAAAGAAATCAACAAAAGGAAAAAAGAATTATTAAATTATAAATTATCCAATTTTGTTTTACAGCAATTATAAGCATAAATATAAAATAGCCTGTAATTTTATAGTTACAGCATTGTTTACATTTTTGTACAGTCCATTATTTTTAATCCTAAAAACCATATGACTTCATTTTTTTCTGTTTCCTGCAATTGAGGGTTTGTATTAATCGTTAAATTTAGACAATGTCCTAATTAAAGCTGTCAATTTAGCCATCTCAGCAAGTTCCATAACTTTTACTATCCATTCCTCCATTGCAGGTAGAAAGTCGAATCTTTGCATCTTGCATAATAGTGTATAATAGTTTTGGCTGCAGTTTTCATATATAAAAACAAAGTTCCCTTCCAGCTGTAATTCCCACGTTATCTAAAGCAAGGACCGCAAGCTCCACAGCCCCGCTCCGAACTCTGTCAGAGGGCTGCAAAAGGAGCCATAGCCATCCTGTAGAGGTGGTGAAATAAAGCCTTGCAGGTTGCGGAGAGGCACTTCTTTCCTCCCTAACTGTGAAAATCCCCTCATCCGAAGATGAGAAGCAGCGGCAGCAAAATGGCTGCCATGAAGCCGGAGACAGTCTGAATACCTAAGACAGTGCAGGATGAGATCGTGAATGGTGTGTGAACTGGGTGAGAGAATACTTTTTGTTGAAATCTGACCCCTAAGAATCCAAGGGGAATATATATTTAGAACTATTTGTCAAAGTGGCGAACGAGCACTTTGGAAAAATATTGGAGAATTTAAGAAGAGAACATTTTTCTTAAAAAATATTCAAAAATATTAGAAAATTGAATTCTCAAAGTGAAAAGATGTGGTATCATGAAGGCATTTTTAAAATGCTGGAATTACAGACCTAAAATCTTTTTTATTAATACTGCTTACTTATTGGAATTATAATTTAAAATAATTAAAATCGGACTTGCCAGCAACATTGCAGAGGTTGAAGCAGGCTGAAGCAGACAGCGCCATCTACTAAAGAGAGGGCAAATATGCAAGCCTGGGAATAACCATCTGAAGGACTGAAAATACTTACTGGGTTACATGTATCTACTCTAAGAGCACTGGAGATTTGAATATTAAATAAGAATTTTTAGTTAAAGGACCCCTGAATGTTATTGAATGTATAACAGTGACTTGAAGAGGCGTGGAAAACTCCCTGGTGTATCTAAAATTGGTTTGACTGATTATTGATGAGATACTAAAATTTGTGATTTGGCAAGCTTTGTTTTGAATCAACAAATCCTAGACAACTGGATAAAAAGGAGACCCGTTAAACCAAATAAGACGCAATGCAAGCCGGAAATCTGTGGAGTTTTAAATGGAATGGAGCTGTTGTTTCAAAGTATTAAGGACCTTATACAGGAACAACATAAGACGATGGTGAAAATATTTGATTGTATAGACCAAAAACTGGAAAATATTATATAAGGAACAAGGAGCAAGGACCAAGACTATGAGGAAAGAAAGGAGCCATCAGAAGAAATGGAGGGGAAAGCAGAACTGCGAAGCCAACAAAAAGAAGACAAGGAGGAGACATTATCAAAATTAATAATGATTAAGGAATTAAAACAGGAGGGAAATATTTTAACAGATTTAAAAAGGGAATGGGAGAAACAGGAGGATATCTGGGGGAAAGAGGTAGGGGCTAGAACAAATAGCTTTAAAACTAGACAGTGGGAAAGGATAGACAGGAGAGAAAAGGTTAGATTGTATAGTCAGAATATAGATCTAGAAGTAGATGGAGTAAAAAGATTTAAGAGAAGAATATGGGAGGCAAGCCAAAAAAAAAAAAAAGATTAAAAGTTCTGATGTGGACAAGAGATGATGGACTTAAAAAAAGAGAGTAAAAGATCTTCCATGAATACATTTTAATAAAAACATGTATATTAATACTAGAATTATATAGGCTGGATAATTATTTTGTAAGTAATGTGATAGATATTAGGATAATATTTTAAGATAAAACAGATATGAAGAGTGAAATATAGGAATTATGAATAAGAACTAAGTATTCTGGAAAATTAGAGATTGAATGAAAGCATTATTAAATAAGCATAAAAATAAGATTAGCAGTGAAATGACAAAATTAAACAATGGGTGATTAGATAATGAAAGAATATATTTTAATGTAAACATGTGTTTACCAGTAGAATCACACAGATTGGATGATTGGAAAGAACATGAACAGATGTACTTTAAATGTTTAAATGACTGTGATTGATACTAGAAGCATATATTAAAGCATTGGATAATGAAAAAATGAAGGATAAAATTTTAACATAAATGTGAAGAGTTAAATAAAGGAATTATGAATAATAAAACAGGTGAAAAATGGAAAATAGAAATGTCTTTGAATATTACAGTGATATGGGGGAAAGATTAAAATAGAAATAGAAATAAGAGGGGAATAATAGTATATACATACATACATACATACATACATACATACATACATACATACACACACACACACACACACACATGTAGGTCTTGGCATGTTTGGGTCTTTTCCCCTGTAAGATTGAGAGCATCTTGGCAACGTTTCGACGAGGTCCCACTTGCCATCTTCAGGCTGGTGCTTTCGGCTTCGTGCTTGTGCGAGCAAAGCATGATTGGAGCTGCCGACTCCCTATATATACTGGTGGGTAGGTTGGTTCTGTTGTCATTTCTTGATTGGTTGATGGAATTGTTTGCAGATTGGCTGGCTTTTTCATAAGAACATGTGTGGCTGAGGTATTGGCTGTGTGTCTATCAGCCTCCTGTGTTGTAATGACCTGGGTAATGGGCTGTGTGATGACCTTCTGAGTTCTACTGTTGTGACATCCTGGGTCTTGTGCTGTGATTTCCTGGGTCATTGACTGTGTTGCAACATCCTGAGGTTTTGTGGTGTAACCTCCTGAGTTCGGTGATGTGATATCCTGAGCGGGGTGGCTGTGATGTGACGTTCTGGGTTTTGGTTTGGCTCCGAGTTTGAGGCCTGGATATGTGTTCATGGCATTTATCCGTTTGCTTGGTTTGGGGGTTAGGGTGTGTGGCAGCTGGTGATGCAGCCGTGGTCTGGTTTCTGGATGGTGGTTGTCTTTTGTCTATGGGATGGGTTTGGGTTTGAGTCTGGCGAGGGAGAATGGTGGTGTCATGTGTTGTTTTGGGTCCAGTGTTGGTTTTCATGGCTGGGACTCACTTGTTGGTGAGGGCTAGTTTCCAGATGTCTGGTAGGCGGGAGGCATCGTCCCGTTTATTCATGTTATGGGGGTGTTTCTCTATTTCGATGGCTTCCCTGATTATTCTCTTGTTGAAGTGTTCAGTATTGGAGATTAATTTGGTTCCCT